TGCTTCTGGTCTCATGGCTCCACAGCCTTGTGAAAAGCGGTGAATCTGCTCCCGGATTTAAATGGCGCCTTATGGGTGCTGTCCAAGGGATTGGGATCAGCACCATGGGAAGGAAGGACGGTGCCACTCAAGGTTGGCCTAAAGCAGTGATTCTCGACCTTCCTAATACCGCGAGCCCTTAATCCAATTCCTCATGTTGTGGTGACCTGCAACTATAACTATTTTCATTGCTACTTTGTAATGGTAATTTTGCTACTGTTACGAATTGTCATGTAAACCTGTGATATGCAAGATGTAATTTCATTCACTGGACCAAATTTGGCTCAAATTTGGCCCTAATTTGCCAACCTTGTGGTTTGGAAACATGCAAATATGAGTTGATCAATAGGTACCACTTCTGTGCAGTCATGCCAATGGCCACATGACCTTGGAAGTGTCTATGGACAACGCTGGTTCTTTGTCTTATAAATGGAGATGAGCACCAACACCCAGAGTCGGACATTACTGGATTTAATGTCTAGGGCCTTACCTTGTTTGGGGTGTGTGTGTGAGTGTGTGATTTTGTCATTTGGGAATTGTAGTTGCTGGGATTTATAGTTTACCTACAGTCAAAGAGCATTCTGAACTCCACCAATGATGAAATTGAACCAAACTTGGCACACAGAACTCCCATGACCAACATAAAATACTGTGTTTTGTGATGGTCTTTGCGACCCCTCTGACACCCCCTCACAACTATCCCCATGGTTGAGAAACGCTCCCATACATTGACTTGTGTATTGGGACTCAATTAGAGCAGGAAACCCACTGCGTGATCTCCGAATGGCCCCCACATTGTCAGAGCTGTTTATTGTGGAAAGTGTGGTGGACTCACCTTCTTTGGAGGTCTTTAACGGAAGCTCTTGAGAGCGGAGTGGCCTGCCGTGGTGGAGTGATCCCCTCCTTCGCAGTTTGGAGGTCTGTCTGCCAGGAGGAATTCAGTAGGGAAGCCTTGCATGGTGGACTGGATCACCTTTCTAAATCAGTTCCTTGCTTATTTGGGGCAAAACCTTTGCTTCTGCACAGTGGCACATGATGGGACAGGCAGAGAGATGGCTGTGCAGATGTTGGGCAGGGGAAAAAGGGAGAGGGGAGGAAGAAAGTTAAAAGTGTCATTGGAAAGAAAGGGACTTGTGACATAACAACACGGGTCATGCTTGCTTCAGACGCTTCAGCATTTGGCAGTCTGCCTTCTGGAGGGGAGGAAATCCCCTACAAGGAGGAGTGCTTTCGATATTTGGTAATCATCGTGGACGGATCCTTCCTGTCAGTTGGTGACTCACTATCCCTATCCCTCCCCACGTTGCCTTTGTGTAAAGCAGTGTTTCTCAACCTTCCTAATGCCACGATCCCTGAATACAGTTTGCCGTGTTTTGGTGACCCCCAACCACAAAAATATTTTCGTTCCTACTTCATAACTGTCATTTTGCTACTCTTATGAATCGTAATGTAAATATTGATTTACTAGCTGTCCCCTGCCACGCTGTGGCCCACATGGGGGTTCTGTGTGGGAGGTTTAGCCCAATTCTATCGTTGGTGGAGTTCGGAATGCTCTGTGATTGTAGGTGAACTATAAATCCGAGCAACTGCAACTCCCAAATGTCAAGATTCTATTTTCCCCAAACTCCACCAGTGTTCACATTTGGGCATATTGAGTATTTGTGTAGAGTTTGGTCCAGATCCAACATTGTTTGAGTCCACAATGTGATGTGGCGGCAAAAAAAGCCAATGGGATTTTGGCCTGCATCAATAGGAGCATAGTGTCTAGATCTAGGGAAGTAATGCTACTCCTCTATTCTGCTTTGGTTAGACCACATCTGGAATATTGTGTCCAATTCTGGGCACCACAATTGAAGAGAGATATTGACAAGCTGGAATATGTCCAGAGGAGGGCGACTAAAATGATCAAGGGTCTGGAGAACAAGCCTTATGAGGAGTGGCTTAAGGAGCTGGGCATGTTTAGCCTGAAGAAGAGAAGGCTGAGAGGAGATATGATAGCCATGTATAAATATGTGAGAGGAAGCCACAGGGAGGCGGGAGCAAGCTTGTTTTCTGTTTCCTTGGAGACTAGGATGCGAAACAATGGCTTCAAACTAGAAAGAAAGGAGATTCCATCTGAACATGAGGAAGAACTTCCTGACTGTGAGAGCCGTTCAGCAGTGGAACTCTCTGCCCCGGAGTGTGGTGGAGGCTCCTTTGGAGGCTTTTAAACAGAGGCTGGATGGCCATTTGTCAGGGGTACTTTGAATGCAATATTCCTGCTTCTTGGCAGGGGGTTGGACTGGATGGCCCATGAGGTCTCTTCCAACTTTATGATTCTATGATTCTTGATCCCTGGCTTGTGGTGGAAAGAAGGATTAGTGATGAAGGTTCATTGGAGACCCTTTCTCCCCATGATGATAACTCTTCCAAACAAACCCTCGTAGGTGAGCCAGGAGTGGCCAGCTGTGTTATTTTTCTC